CCTAGTTGCACAGGCCGGGGGCAGCTCCACCCCTTCTCCCTGGCCCCGCACTCACCCAGCCCCCCGGCATGCGGGTGGACCAGCCCCAGGCAGAGCGCAGCTGCGATCCCGGCATCCACCACGTTCCCGCCAGCCACCAGCAGGTCCTTGCCCAGGCGGGAGCAGGTCTCTGCAAGGCACCGACAGGCCCCGGCGTCAGGGACGGATGGGTGGCGCGGGCCCTGTGCAGAGCTTGTGCCGCCCCCAGCTCTGCACTCCCAGCAGGGGGCAGCGTGGGCCCATTGCCCCAGCTCCTCATGCCCCGCTGCAGCCCAGCCAGGAGCACAGGGCACAGCGGTGACATTCTGTGCCCCAAAGCAACACCCTAGCACCCCGTAGTTACCAGGGTGATAGGACTCCGGTCTGTTCTATACGGAGCATGTCATGTAGGGGGTCAATGGAAAAGTTTGGGTTTGCTGAGTATGATTAGCCTGGTTGTGAACATGTCTCGTTTTTCTATCTAAAGTTATGAATACTGACGATGTGCCAATATCTCCGAGGGGTTTGCTCCGGAGTCACACCCAACCTGGCCAGCACCTTGTGGATGAACCATGCGGGGGGGGAAGAGGGGCATTCAGAAACACAATAGAAGAAACTTCTCCCCACCTGGGGGGCCGTCCTGTGGACGCTGCAGCCCGTGTCTGGATAATGGCTGCTGAGACTCACGGAAGCATGTGAGGGCAGCGGGATAGATCATGTGACACTGGACTCCATCTTGTGCCTGGACCTTCCCACAAACTGTGCTGGGGGCTTATGTTGGGGACAAGGAAGTTCCCTCCACAGGGGAGAAGCTATAAAAGGGGGAAGTGATGTCATCACGTGGCCTCACTCCCCCACAACTCAACACCTGGAAACACGGCTCGAGGGAAACGCCTTGGGACATGGGAGAGGGACCAGGCTGGAAAGGAGGATCTAGGACAGGGGTCCCCAACATGGTACCCGTGGGCCCCATGGCACCCACCGGGGCATCTATGTGCGCCCACCTACTGGCCGCTGGACAAGCAGCTGCCGAAATGCCACCATGAAGCGGCAACGTCAAGAAGCGCTACTGCGGAATTTCGGTGGCATTTCGGCGGCGACGCCTCTTGACATTGCCGCGTCACGGTGGCATTTCGGCGGCTGCTTGTCCGGCGGCCACGGTCCTCGGCGGGTAGTCGTCCGGCGCCCGCCCCATGGGAAAGGTAGGGGACCACTGCTCGAGGAAGTGCCTGTCCCATCAGGGTGAGACACTGCTGGAGTCAAAGCCTGTCTAGTGTATAGAACTCAGATTGCGATGTTGTTTTATTTCTTAGGTAACCAACTCTGATCTGTTCGCTGTTACTAAGAATCTCTCTTTCTGTAATTCATAAATCTGTTTTCTATTTTTTACCTACGACAGTGAGTTGTTTGAAGTGCAAAGGGAAATCTGCTCAGGAACAGGGGCTGGTGCCTTGTCCTCTCCACACTGAGGGAGGGTAACTGGGTAACAACTTACACTGGTCAGGCTTCTGACCAGGGCAGGACGGGACAGCTCTGGGGTCCTAGGCTGGGGGGCTCGGGGGAACTGGCTGGAGCCTCTCTCTTGTTGGTTCATGAGTGGCTGGTGAGAGTATTCATGTAACTCAGCTGGTGTGTCCCTGTCTGTAAATAGCTGTGTGAGTGCAGGACCTGGAGGGGTCTGCAGCTTGTCACAGCATCCCAGTGCGAGCGGGAGCCCAGGTTTGGTAAGACAGAGGCTCAGCTGTACCCCAGTTCCAGGCTGTACCCCGGGGAGCCCATCACAGCGACCCGAGGGGTACCCAGCCTGAACACGGCAGGAGGAAGCGGTGCCCTCTGGGGGCCCGGGTTGGGGTGGGGCCTGCACCCCATGCTGTGTGATGCTCACTTGAGCTGGTGATGAGGGTGGCATGATGGTAAACGCCCCGTGCATGCATGTGAGCCGCAGATGGGATGTCTCCAGGCTCCTCCTGCGCCCCCATCTGCCCGGCGCCACCGTCCTGCCTGGGAACCTGGGCGCCGCCCAGCCGCGAGGAGCCCCCGGAGGTCATCTGGTAAAAGGCCAAGGCCAAGGCCAGCGCCAGCAGCACCAGGGCCGAGGAGATGCGGGCGCAGGTCTCCCGGTGGTACTGGTGAAGCAGCGCCTGCAGCGAGGATCTGCAGAGAGCCAGAGAGAACAGAGAGATCAGCCCACTGCAACCCCAGCCAGACAGGTGTCAGCCTGTGCTCCGGGTCGTGCCCGGGAGGGAGGCTCCCAGCAGACTGCGGGGGGCGCTGGGGAGCAGGAAGGGGGCAGCAGCAGGACTATGGGTGCACGGGCAGGGGAGCAGGAAGGGGGCAGCAGCAGGACTATGGGTGCACGGGCAGGAGTCCAGGGGTGAACAACCGGGGGGCTGTGGGTCCGGACTCAGGGGCATCAGCAGAGCTGTGGGGGGGAGCCCAGGGCTGGGATAGCAGGGGGGGGGTGTCAGGACTGAGGGGCACTGGCAG